AAAAAAAAAAAAGAAAAGAAAAAGGTAAGGATCTTTTTCGTGAGAGGGGAAACCTAAGATATTAACCTAACATAGTATATGTTTGCAGTATTTAAGGTGTTTTGGTAACTTTGTAGTCTTGTTTGAATTTCTCTCTACGAAAGAAGCAAAAGAAAGATTACTCTATATGAATTATGGGAATGCATCAAGTTATCTTAGGGAAGGTTAGTAATTGCTTCGTACGCTCATAAAATCTTTGAATATATATATATAGGGTTGGGTTTCAGTGAGAAAGAGTCTTAGTGAAAGAAATAAGAATACATTCTGGTCATTGGATCAGATGATTTAATGGTAACAAAAAATACTGTATTTATATAGTCATTAAGGGTATTTTAGACATTTTGATTATAAATATGTGGCACAATGCCAACTAACACTCACCACACCAATGATTGAATGCCATGTGTCCATTACACATCACACAAAAACGCTCACCCACCCGCTGACCCTCCCTCACGCAGTTACACACACATACATGAATAATGATAAATCAGACGCACGCACCCCACCCACCCTCTCACCTTCTCACACACACTTACACACACATAAATAATTCAAAACACACAGCACACACACCAAAACATGCACACACCTACTCGACACACACACACCACATACATACACACACAGTGTCGGCGAAAAGACATACACACACCGCCGCCGGCGTCACACACACGCAGCCCAACCTCCGCGCCTCAGCCCTGTGTTTTTGGTAAATAGTCGCCCGGGCCTGGTCACTGCGACCCCCTTTGTGAGGAGGCACCCCTTCTCCTGAAGTTACGGGGCTATTTTGTCGAGTTCCTTAAAGAGAGTTGTCTCGCGCCCTTAGGTATTCTCTACCTACCCACCTGTGTCTTTGTATTTTTCCAACAAACTTCGTTTCTTGGTCAGCTTGGCATTTCGAGCTAACCGTTTTGATTAATAAATAATATTTTAACATTATATTTATTGTTTGATATAAGCGGCAACCACGCCGCGACAGCCGAAGGCGCGACGACCGGCGCTACGACGAGGATCAGCGACGGCGCGATGGTCACGCAGATCACCACCGCGATGAACGGCACCGAGAGGAGCGGGCTTATACACGGTCGAAGTTGACTATGCCCACATTCACGGGAGGGCGTGTGCGTGCTGCCACGTGCGGCAACGCCCAGTAGCGTGCCGCCAGCGGTCGTGGTGCAGTGCACGCCAGTCACGCCAGCAGCACGCAGTCAGCTTCTTCACACGGAGTCCTCACGCCGCCGTCTGCAACCAAATAAAAAAATATCCGCCGACGTAGCTGAAACACCACCGCCGGAGCCCGTCGAATTCGTCGTAGAAGTCGACGTCTAAAAAGTCGATGTTTGTCGACAAAACGTGTGCAGACTAAGGCCGATGCTCGTCGCTCGTGAAACTTCCAGCCGCCGTTGTGAACTGTCCGTGAGTCAGGCGGCCGACGATTGCTCATAGGCTTCCTTTCCGGTGAGATGATAAGCTGGGACGGTGCTGTAGCAGGGCGGAGGCCCGTTGCTGCCGGCGGAACGGCTGAGGAGCTGATTTTAGGGCTGAGGACTAGTGATTGTGAATTTGATATGTTACAAGGGTTGGTTTGCAATTTTAATATTTTTAGTTATTCACAATTAAGCCATTGGGGTCAATGTGTGAATTCATAAAGATCTAATTTTATTCCAATTTAGTCCATGAGCAAAATCTGTAATTTACAGAATAATACAAGTCTCGCACCCTGCCCGGCTGGAATTCGCCTTAAGCTTGCTCTCCTCGCCGGTTGGACGCGGAACCTGCACGAAACTCCCACACCGGAGGTGTTTTCCGGTGAAGAGCCTCCAACGCTCAAGTCAGATCTTGAGAGATAATATCAGTGTATAAAAAGGTGTAAAGTATATCAGATTGTCTCGAAAATGAGGATTCTCGCCCTTATTTATAAGGGCGAGTTACCTGTATTGCACGC